GGCCCGTACACATTTTTTTCGGCTGGTCGCCCTTATTACCACGGTGAATTTTGCTGTTGTAACCGGGAAGCTTACTAAAGGCGGAGGGAACGTAGGAAGTTGATCTCGGTACTTAGGTTTCACTGGATTTTCCGTCGTGAAATCGATGTAACGAGTGGGAACCATTTACCGGGCAATCGTAATTCTGTGCAAGTTCCTCTGGTATATTTCAAGCATCAACGAGAATAATGTTTAGTGAACGTAGATGAGGCTTCATTTTTTAAATCAATGTAGTTGAAGAAGAATCGGATATTCTTAAAAATGTGCTGCTATTCTGTTTGAAAGTTCTCTTTCCTTCTTAAATGTCTTTACATAAAACTCAGGAGTCAGGGGTTTACCTGTACAATAAAGAATACATATGAAAGCGTTCCACAGGGTCCGCAGAATTTTCCATAAAAACTGTCTTCCCGGTAGAAGCAAAGATCCCCCGGCAACTTGAACTTCGCCGAAAGTTTCCCATCGGATCCGAGGGTAACCCCGTTCAAATCTGCCTCGTCGAACTTTTCATTTCTCCGTAATATACAATTCCCCCTCTTCAAAAGAAGTTCTCGGTGTGTGAAAAAAATATCAGATCTCAGCACATTCTGTCAGAATCAGTGGGGAGATCAGGATTCTCTTTGAGACGGGCGTGTTCCCTTATACGTGCGTTTTCGAACGAAAACGTCGAAGGGAGTAGAACGTGGTATCTCGGCGAGCACCGAAGAAAAGGAGAAGAGGGGCACAAGAAGAAAAAAATTGGGCGAAAGAACGTGTGGAGGAAGAGGAAAAATAAAGAGAGGGTAATGGGGTAACTTTATCTGCGCTGGCAGAGAAACGCCCTCCCCTCCCGCTTCGTTCGTTCGATTTTGCTCTAGTCACTAAGTTACCTGATCTGCTCTCCATCGTCTTGCGATAACTTCGCCATACCTGGCTAAGGCTTTTCTTAGATACACCGTCCTCCTCAGGCCTCCACCCCCGAACGGAAAGAAAGACGAAGCATAGGGCTTAAGTCGTGAAACTTTCCCAAAAAGCCCCGAACTCCTTCGATTCGCGGGGGTGTTACGGAAGTCGTATATCCTCGAAATGATCCCTGGGCCAGTACTTTCGCGTGACTCCTGTTACTTCGACGAGGAAACAATGCTCCTTGTCGACTCGATGCTGGAATCCTTTCACGCGAGACCTCGAGTCGGACGACACCGTGTCACGAGCCGCCTGAAATAACGGATGGGGACCATTCTTACAGCGTGGTCCAGAGTGTCCGGTGACCAGCGACGTTTCTCCTGGTATCTTGACGCCTAGGTGTGGACACAGAGCGATTCGTATTAATGACGTCTAGATCCGTTCAGATGACACACTATTGAATCTGTCATATGGAGGTTCTATAGTGCATCACATATACATAAAAAGAAATAATATATTACAATACAAAATGTAAGAAGTGATAAGGAATACAGATTCTATTGAAGATCATGCTTAGGTGTTAATTTTTAATTTCTTATTTTTCCTGAATTTCACCTGAGTAGGTACTAGACATTCCTGCCATTTCCATAGTGTTCACTTCAATGGCCTGACATTGTATTCGCCAAGGGAAGAAAATTGGTTGCTAGGGTATCGTCAGCATTCTTTTTGTATCGATTACTTTTGTTTAATTGATGAAATGTCACTCGTCCCAGCATTCGATGCGTTGTTGATTGGGTTCCTTAATCCACGGAAGAGGAAAAAGACGTACACCAATTCCAATCGTTAAACACTGTCAAGTAGAGGGGCGACAAAATTTTCGTATTAACTGTGGCCATCCTTTAACGAGCGTGCACAGTTACTAAATTTCACACTTTTACAGTGACGGTGTTAAAAATGAATCTAAGGTTTCTGGTGCTTGTATCACTCACCAAGAGGAATAAGATATATCTAATCGACAGAGATTTTAAAATTAATCCGTTCGATGAGAAATACTGAAGTTTATATGTTTTCCCATTGGTTACAGATGTTCAATATCTCATTGCAATAAAAAACTCACTTCCGCGGATAAGAGATCGACGTATATTTTCAAATATTTCTTCTATATTTCGTATCCCCTGTGGTCATGCAACCTTGAACGAATGTATTTCTGAACCAATGTTTTCTGTTCACATCCGATACGCTACTAAGGGACTCACTCACGACATCGAACGCTCGTAGATACGAAAATTTATTTCACATTGAACGGATTTATTTTGTGTTCTACGTTGATTAGACATTTTTTACTTAACTCTGCGAGTACTATAAGCTATTAAAAGCTCAGACCATCTTTTTAAATATCCTGTACACACGCAATGATGCGTTACGGAATAGAACTATCGTACTTCGGGACATCGGCTGACGAATGATTGAATGTCTCATCGTCGAAAAGTTTCTTCACGTTCGCGCGTAGATAAACAACTGTTCCCAAAGGCAGTGGCCGATCGATAGAGCGCGATGTTGCGAAACAGATGCCTCATTCGGCGAAGTGGCAGAACGTTGGTGCAACCTGAAATAAAGGGGCTGTCATACTTTTACAGTACGAACGCGTTATTAAATTAATGGAAGGTTAAATCGGACAAAACGGAGGGAAGGTGGTGAGAGGTTGGAGATTATTATTCCCGTTGTTTTCGGATCCATCACATTGCAACGTTTTCCATAATTAATTATATTCACGGATGGAAAATGGAATCGTAATAGCAGCGGAGATTCTGTCAAGCTTTTGTACTCGTTTACCAATAAAAATTAGAAGACGACTTTGCGGCAAATGCTTCCTGGAAAAATGGAGTGCCATGGTCAACTACTGGGTTAATTAATACACAACACATTTAGTCTGGAAAATTGGTTATTCGATGTGTTCGTTGGTAGGTAGACAATGCCAATGAACTGGAGTAAAATTAACTTCCGAATACACCGATGATTATATCTAAAACTTTCCTGTTTCCAGTCGTAATATGGCGTTGCAGTGAAATACATATGTATAGTGTCTCAAATGATTCGTAATAAAAGTTGTTCAAACTAGTTTTCTATTTTATCTGTACTTTTGTTTATCGAATATATACAATACCTATGTGTCGATTCAGAATATTATTTTAACTACGGAATGTAAAACTTATTTTTAATCTAATTTAATACATTTGTGCATTGTATATTTAGACAGTCCTGATCTATGGTTATCAAAGATTCGTTTGAAACAAGTTTGCGAGCACGTAATTGTGTATAATATATGAAATAAAAGTAAATAATCATTTATATTAAAATTACTTACTTTTATGCAAAATGAAGCTGTTGCACTGCCGAACGTATTTGTCTTATATTTTCGAAAAACACCTAGGCGACAACCGTGATAAACACACAGGTGCGAATTCGCACCACCGCACAATTTCGATGTCACTCCTTCGAAGACTAACGCGTAAATGATCCTCGGATCCTTACTACCTGATACTGTATCGGACAGATATATTTAACGTAGGCGAGCGGGATCCACATGCTCGCTTACCTCTAAATACTCAAGACTTGAAATTTTTGCTGGTACAAATTCGCACCACTGAGCTTACGGTTATGCCACCGGTTAATCTCATTGTTCATGCTTTCGAAAATATGGCTGGGAAAGTACAATGTGTAAAAAGTGGAAAGGAAAAGAGGCAGAATTTATTTTACGGAACCACCGCATGTACATTGACGTGTTTTTAGCGACGTAGCATGACGAGGCACTGTGCAAGCTCATCGAAACTTGAAGTGTTCTTTCTTGTTTTACGAGACAGAAAACAGCTTAGATACTTAAGTGGTAATTTGTCAAAGAGAGCAGGGACGAGCTGTAGCGAGTTACACGAGCTAAAACTTAAAAGTAACATCTACCCACGAGCTCCGCTCTGAAATTGATGAAACTTTATGTAATTATAAGACGGACCGACTTGAAAATAATCTTTGGTATTGTTCGAGGATTCGGAAATATAATTTCACACGTTCTCTACCACCATATGGTTTAGAAAACGATCATCACAAACTACTTTATAAGGTCGCCATTATTATCTTCAGTGGAATGTTCTTACTTTCTTTATTCAATGTTACAAGTAGATTGAAGAGAGATAATGATGACATAAAATATAGGGGAATATTGCAAAACACATTCTGCTTCGATCAAGTAAAGTCTGCTGACCTTTTAGTAATTAGAACGTTACGCATAGTGACACTTGGTAGCGAACCTGTTAAGTAGTATGGTGACTACATGGTCAGAATCGCCAGCACAGATGAAGATTATATTTAACTTCTTTGTATTCTTCAGTGTTTTCTAATCTTCACTTCTTTCATTATCATAACAATATATTTGAATTATGTCGAACACATACAATATATTTGGAAATAAAGTATTCTATATTCACAATAATAATTAACATGTATTTTCCTCTTTACCAAATATTAACCTCCAGCGACTCGCTGATGCGTCTGCACAATGCTGACTATTTCTACTTGCAACAGACACTGACGATATTGTGGTCGTATCTACATTATTTACAATCCAATAACTTTACTATGTTTTAGATTATATTAGAATATTAATTTATATTAAATTATTATTAGAAATAAATAGCAATACATCATTGTAAACACGTATAAACGTTAACGTAAGATAAAAGAATCTCGTAATGCAATGGCTCGGAAAGCTAATCGTGTTCGAGAAATAAAAAAAAATTTGTTTTCAATTTTTCCTTCGCTTCTACACGAAACCCCGATTTATGTGTCCGTCTGTAGTTGACTAATTACGAAAATATTGCACAACAACTAATGTTATTTCATTATTATAACGTGACTCTTGCTGTTTATTGCCTTTTAAGTTGGTATACTTTTAGATAGTCACGAATAATCAATTTCACAGCTACCATATATACCATAGCCTTTTACGTAATCATTATATATATATAGTACAAGGACACGAATAAAATTATTATGACAAAATCACGTGTCCTGGTTGTATATAAAAAAAACTGTGCGAGTGAATGTTAATACCGTGAGGGAATTTAAAACGAAGAACCATGAATCAAGGTCTCAAGCTCATTCTTGTACTTGTTTCTATGGTTTTTGTGTCAGGATATTTCATGACACCGGTCCGAGCAGTAAGTTACAAATTCGAATTCACGTACTTATTCGTAACTTTATTAAAATACATTGCGTTTTCTAATAAGGATCCATCGAAATGTGGCGTCTTCTATAGAAGAAGGTGCCGTTTTCCTGAAATAAGAAAATTGTGCGGGGTATGTCAACGTTATGACAGAATTGTACCATATTTTTAGTCAAGTCGTCTTAAATGATTTAATAAACATTTCTACCTTTTTTTATTTATTAGGATTTATGTAATGGGCGTTAGCAGGCAGTTCCATCTCCAAGGAAAAGTTAACTGCAGACGTTCTAAATATCATTGTATGTAATTGGATATAAATAAAAAATAAAATGTAATGGATTGTTGACGTGCTACTGACTCTTTAATATCCAGCCACATTGTTGAATGATCGATATAATATCCAAAAAAATTATTGAATAAATTAACAGTTTCATTTAACCCTTGTACAACGAATGCAGGGCCATTTAAATCCCTCTGTAGCCGTTACCATATTATTTGTAATTATACGTAAATGTAATGTATAAACTTAAATATGCATATACATACAATTTTACGTACAGTTCCTCCTTGAAACCCACGTACAATGGTAATTTCATTATGGGTCAGCCTCAGTCCCAGACCATTCGCCTTCCGAGGGTTAAAGGTCATTTTCCAGATTTATATTAATTTGTATTATTTTAACTTTCATTCAACGTCATGACTTAGAATTGTGAAAGTTCAAATGTAACTTTAGAATATTACTGGCTATATGGTACTTTATTGAAAGATCAAAAGGCTAACCGAATACTGTTTTCATCGTCAACTATTTTGGTTCGGCAATAAATAAAGTAACGCGTTATCTCATAAATTGATGTCAGTCACGAAAATTCTTTTTGTGACATCGGAAGTGATATAAAATACGCGTTAAATTTTTAATATTCACGTTCTCATCTGTGAAGATTAAAAATTTGTACAACAGTTGTACATATATAAAGAGCTGGAATAGACTGTTAGATACAACTTAAACAGACTCAAAAGAGATTCAAAGTAAACATGTCACAAGTAGTCGGGTTCTTTTTCTTTCTTATTTCTGTCATCTGCATGTCAGGATTGATGATGACACCTGCTGCAAAGACAGTAATGGATTCACCGTTACTTTTATATCAGATTTCTTGTATTTATTATTAGAATATTTGTATAACTTATTCTATCTCCTATTTTAGTGTGCTGGGGTATTCAACTGCTACCATCCCTTGATTAGAGCGATTTGCACGGTATAGTGACAAGCATTCAATACTACTCACTGTAACGATTATTCCCTTTATGTCATAGTAGTTTATTTGTACTCCTTTCCTTCTTGTTTTTTTTAGGAACAATGTAAAGGAGTATGATTTGAAAAGGTTTGAAGGTTTCCATCATGGATGTCAGCGTGCAAATATTGCCTTCAAGTGTTCTTTCAATTCTTATTATATTATATTATAATTGGATATTAATAAAAAATAAAATGTTCTGCATCGTTAATAGACTGATACTTTGTTAAATCATCCTTAATGCTTATAATAGTTTATGAACACAGGAACTGTATAGACATTGATTTCGTAGAATCCTTTGAAAATCAGTCGCTTTGCGTCAGTTCTAATTATCGTCATTAATATTAAAAGAAATTAAAATGTTATGTGTTATCGATATGTTTTTACACTGTTATATTCTAATGTGTACTGCAGACTTCATATTGTATAAGATTATTAAAAAATTCTTGATCCTTTTATATTCTGCGAGTTTATACATGTGTAAATAATGAATAAGTGTAAAAGATGATACGAATGGAAACAACTCCATTTATTCTTATTTTAAATGTTCATAAAAAGTAAATTGAAATTTAAATTTCAATACATTAAATTAGTGACTTTTCGATTTAAATTATCGTGCATTGATATCTTCTGGTTTTTGTAAATCGATCAATATTTTATCATCCCATCCTTTCACGTTAAGAAAAGTGACATAAGACCTGCCGGTTATGGTGGTGGGTATAATACCATTATAAAGATCTGGACAAAACACAATTTCAAGGAGGGAATACCTTGGTTCGAAATACACAATAAATAATTTCCTACAATACGTTCAATTATATAGTACAATTTCCTGCTAATGTTGCGGTAAATATTACCAATTATTCCTATACTCTAGGAATTGAAGAAATTTTTAATTTATAGTCTTGGAAAACGTAAGTCCGTTTCTAGGTAATGAACTGTGAATTTTCGAACATTTTAAACGTAAATATTACATTGTGAAAGAAGAGACATCTAACACTATTATTTTATTAATCAAAAAGACGGATATAATGAATTATTGTAATTAGCGTCGTTATTGAAGAAGGTTAGAGTACTAAAATGGAAATGTAAAACTTCATATTTCTGTAAAGCTTTCGAAATTCCATTCGCGGGATTTGCAGAACCATAATTTATTTCTGCAAATCATATTATGTTTGAATATCATTAATGAAATAATAATCGTCCAGTGTTTCGATTTAAAACTGTTTTTGCTAATTACATACGTGCATTCGGTAATTAGCACACGCTCAAAAGATTAAACGGAAATTACAACGTTGGCTTTAGTTAAATATACAAAGAAGACGACAATTAATTAATGGATACGCATTATTTCCGGGCACTTTGTATTCACTACTATCGCGTTCGAATAATGTTAGTCACGGTCGGCTGATTTTCTTATGATAATGTTACATAAAATACATATTATATTTTTATGTATCGACATGAACATTTTTTTATGCGAGTGACCTTGTTCAGAGCTCCCGTATAAAACACGGAAGTGTGAGTGCAAGTGCATTCTGATAATAAGAAACCGACAAAGGAAATTATGAATCGTAGCTTCAATAATCTGTTTCTCGTTGTTTCTATCATTTTATTGTCAGGATACTTCGTAATTCCTTCCGCAGGAATGGTAAGCTAACATTTTCTTTTATTTACGCAGAATGTTGTATCTTCGTTATTTTATTGTATCGCTATCTTTTTAATAAGACGACAATAGAATGTAATTCAATGTATCTTCCAATCGATACGCTTCATAAAAATAGCGTAGACTATTGAAAGTTAATAACGAGTATTGTAAAGTAAGCACGTATTTCTGACTTCCTTGGAAATGAACAATAGTGGCTTACTCAATTGTACACCTAACATGTGGAGTATTTCATTTTATATATGTATTGTAACTCACAACGTGTTCTATTTAAGGATTCACCGAGGTGCGGAACTGGCTACCCTGCAGAATTCTGCGGTTCCCCACTTATGAACGAAGCGTGTCCGGTAATATTACGATTCCGTAATAATATTAATTAAGTCATTCAATTTTAACGCGTTTAGATAACATCATATTCTTGTAATTTTTGGTAGCAAAATATTAATATCTGATCTTTCTTTCTTTATTAGGACATGTGTAGAAGACTGAAAAGGGGAAGAAAATAATTATAGGTATAAAACACATAAATATGATGGTTGAATTAATAATTCTTTGCTATTTTCTGTTCGGTGTAAAAGAATGTGAAAATAAATAAAACTTATTCATCATTAATTCACTCTTCATTTTCATTATTACCTGATTCCATTCAAAGTACGCATTAATTGTTCCTTCAATGAAATGAATATTAATATTCGAACAAATGCATAATTACTATTTCGACATGGTATCCTAATGATACTCTTGCAGCATTGTTTAAAAATCCTTCATTTTCTTCCAAATTCTGCCTGTGGAAATAAAATCTACATTTGGAGTGTAGTTCAGATACTGATCATTATCAAGCGTAAGCAAATCAGATCTTTCTTTTTTACTTCGTACACTATGTTAATATTTTTCATTTGTGAAATGTGATGAAACCACTTTTAAGATGCCAGGACATGATGTAATGTGCAAAACTATGCCTCGGGATGCGATTTGCCTAAGCATAAGGCATAAAAAAATATGCAAGGCACGTCATAATTAATTCTGTTAATTTGTTCTGATCACTATTGTTACTGTAATAAATACAACTGTTCGTATTTTTTGTTTAGCTGAAGTGTTAATAGAAGAATGAGGTAGAAACTCCTGGTAAATGATGCCGCTATCAAAATGACGATTCTAGCTTTAAACACTAACTGCTGTTGCAAATGTAATGAAATATAAATAAAATAAAAAACAGTTGGCAATACAGTGTTGTCATGTTTACTTAAATTTGTCCACTATCTTGCATAGAATATTCAAGAATGTAGGAACCTTTATGAATTAGTTAGAGAGTTATGATTCGAATGCAGTTCTATAGATATACCTAGTGTATTAAAAAAATATGAAATTGATTGTACATTACCCAGTATAACTATAATTTTGTACCTGCAATGTTTGTAATGTCTGCCAGAAATACTACTACCGAACAGTGGACAAGGCCATTTTAGGACCTATCAATACATTGGTCACGAAAACTGTTTACGGTCCACGAGCTATCCTACAAACTATATATTATAATTTTAAGTATTCATATGTCTACATTTATTACAATTTCGACGAGTTTCTCGGTATAAAAGTGGATGTGTAGATGTAGCGGAAAGTTACTGGTAAATCAGCTAAGAATACGACACAAGGAATCATGAATCAGAAACTTCATTGTCTTCTTCTATTTGTCACAATTATTTTGTTGTCAGGATGTTTCGTAGCACCGGTATTTGGTGTAAGCTAATTAGTTTGTTTTACACTTGTACATTAAGTTATGATAATTGATGATGGCTGATTTTCCCTCGTAAAATGTGATTAAAACCACTTTCTAGGTGTCAGGACCGTGCAAACAATTACCTAGGAAGGTGCTTTGTGGCAGTGATAAATACAAAATAATGTGCAAGGTAAAGTCACCGTTCATTCTACTAATTTGTTTTTACCACTATTGTCACTGCAAAACTTATAAATATACCTATTTTTTGTTTAGCTCAAGTGTTAATAGAAGAATGAGACGGAAACTCCTAGTGAACGATGCAGCCATCACGAAAATGAAGATTTTAACTTTAGATATTAACTGTTGTTCAAAAACAATGGAATATGAGTAAAATAAAAAACATTGGCTATACATTGATATTAATTTTTTCTGAATATTCAATACTCTATCCTTGTCTTTATTAAATCATTTCGGCACATCTATTGCATATCTCTGTTGGAATAATTGAACGGAATAAAACGAAATATCGTAGTACAGGTTGAAATTCCAGAAAATTTCAGAAATTCATAAAAGGAATGTACTTTTCTTCATCCATTCGTTCTTTATGTCTAAGAAAATTGTAAATATATTTAAAAAATACGAGGAAATGAAAATATGACTTAATAGTACCGAAATATGATGAAGAATATTATGTTTTTACGTTTGTGAATTAATACATAAATATTTGTATCTTCTACAGTCTTCCTCAAGATCGTCATGAAAATTTTCCGCTTAGTGGAAAAGCTGTCATTAAAATTATATATCATCTCTTTAATGGTTCAGATATCTATATTATACATGCTATAACTTCGACAAGCTTTGTATAAAAAGGAGCAGCGTGTGTATAACTGCAACATAGTCGCAAGAACGTTAAGAATTCAACAGTGGAAATCATGAATACGATATTCAACTTTCTTCTTCTGTTTATGTCTCTTATTTTACTGTCAGGATGTTTCTTTGCACCGGTGACAGCAGTAAGAGAACACGTTTTTTATTTAATTTTCCATTATATATGTATATTAAAATATTCCGTATTTTGAATTATTTCTGATTTTTTGCTTGAAGACACCACCGGCTTGTCATAGTTTACCTAGGAGTCATCTTTGTAGTAGCATGAAATACCGCATGATGTGTAGGGTAGGGATATATTTATACAATTCTGTTTAGTTGACTTAATATTGTCGACAAGGTACTAATTATAATTGTTTATGCATTGTTATTCAGCTGAAATGTTAGGGCTGATGGTGAATTCTATGGCGTGGAAAAATAAAATGCTACCACTGATGACGGCGACGACGGTTTCAGAAACATATTATTGTTGACAATGTAGCTGTAATGGAAAATAAATGTTTTCGCGATATCTTATTGTGTTTCTTATATGTATCCTTTCTAGTGTTTTTAGTCTTGATGGACTTATTCTCCGTAAAATGTGCAGTCTGCACTGTTGCCAGTTTCTCGGGAAAACAGAATTCTTTTCATACTATTAGGCGTATGACCGTAACTTTAACTTGCAATCCAGCAGGACAATATTAGAAATATTGTTTGTTAGTATGTACTGTTCGTAAACGCAGGTAATAACACTTATTATTGCGTCGTAAAATGCAAATTGTCATCAACCGACAAAATCTGCTAGAATATCGATAATCAAACATTTTACCAGTTCACGTTGGTCACGAAAAAGTGTCTTTAAGATTAAAACGGTATCGTACAATGCGTGTATTACGTTTTTATTTCTTTACGTATGTCTTTATCATAATTTCGAACGAGTTTTGTATATAAAAGGGGGAAATGCATATGCAAGTGCAATTCACTAGCAAAAACAGAAGGAATTCGACGTGAGGCATCATGAACCAAAAAATAGGTTTTCTGCTTGTATTTGTTTTCCTAATTGTAATGACAGGGTATTTTGTGGAACCAGTGATTGGTTATGTAAGAACAGCAGTTTATTTAATTTGTACATTTTATTACTGTTATACATAAATATAATGAATTGTTCATTTATTTATACTTTTCTGGTCTTCTTAATTTTTTAATTCTTAAAGGAACCACCGGCGTGCACAAACTTACCACCGCGTCTATGCAGTAGTATGAAATATCGAAATATGTGTAAGGTACTGTCGTGTTATTTCTTTCTGTTAATTACAGCTTACCTCTATTGCGAATGTAATACATGCAACAAGTTACATGTTGTTTTTTCAGAGCAAATGTCCACAGTCAGGATAAATTCAAGTTTTTGACAAATAATGCTTCCATCACAATGAAGCCATTAGTTCCACGTACAATAATTGTTATTGAAATTGTAATCGAACGTTCAGTAAAATAAATACCAGTCATAAAATGCAATGAAAATATTTTAATACATCCTCTTAAATGTCCTAAGTTATTTATGTCTTATTTACTCTCAACTATTGTAACTATATCGTAAATGTCAATTAATATAACGATAAATAAAGTACAAGAGATTTGGTATGAGATACTAATATATAATTCTTCCTGTTTCTTCTTTGCACTGTCCTAATTGAAACTCACTTCACGATTATTGTGTTCTTTCTACTGTTTTCGTTTGTCGACTTGGATACGTAACATCGAAGTTTTATGTAGAAGAGGAAAGAAATTGTTCGTTGAAATTCAACATGTCAAAAGTTCGATGCGAAGAAGCATGCATCAGAAGTTGGGACCTTTTCTCTACTTCTACCTGACATTTTCCTGTCGGAGTATTTCGTTCAACTTACAAAAGAAATGTTAAAATAAGACTTTTTAAAGGAACCCACAGATCAACGCAAATATTCGCAGCGCCAGCGAATCATTCGTAGCGATAAATTCGCGGCGGTACATATAATGAACTCTACATACTATGAATACAAAGATAAATATACTACAATACTACATGAAAAAAGGCGACTTTTGTTCATGCCAACGCTAACAATTTCTGCCTTAAACTTGTATGGGAATTTGTAGCGTATATTTTGCAAGGCGTTTTCTTCACTGTCCCTCTAAATCCGCTACAATATAATAAATTATATAAATGTATTTCCACGTGATAATATTCCTAGATTGACAAATCTTTCTAACTTTCTTGCGTCATTTAATCCGTAGAATTTATTGTTTTCGTAACATATAAATATTATTTGGAAGTAGATACTTTCAGTAATTATTATATTTATCAAATATAACATTAGCACATTATCGAGCTGATATAATCACATCGTCACCTCCACTATATTATCAGTGTCACGAAAGAATCACAGCAATAATGATTCCTATGTAAATTCGCGTGTCACGTATTTCAGTGATAAAACGTTATAAACTTCCACTGATAATCTTTATTGCTCACGACGTCTTATTGTTGATGGAACACTGTGGGAACAATGAAGATAATGGTATGACACTGTCAATTACAAACTCTTCTAATCTTGAACACGATCAGGTCGAAAGGTATGTAAGAATTATCATAAATGCAATTAAGTAATGAAAATATGTACTAGTAATGATGGATATCTCCGTGAACCCCTAAATACTTATTTACGCTGTTAATATATGTGGTTGTTATTATTGAACTGTGAATTTTACGTGTTTATTAATACTTATTAATTATGTATTACAAGAATGTAATAAAAATGATGAATTCTTCCACATGTTTTTTTAGTTTAAATTTCCTAAGTCATATAGAAAATCTCTTGTTGCTTGGTTATACAAAATGTGCTACTGGAAATACATAACCCCGTAAATTGATAACAAAGTCACGAAGAATTGTCTAAACTGATACAATGTTCGTGTTCGAGCATCCTATATAAAGAAGAAAAATACGAGTTTACAATATATTTGTAACAATATGTGCATAAATTCAGTAAAACATGGCTTAAATATTATTCAGACTTATAACAATAAAAATAATTGCCTCTTCTGTAACTTGTAAATGTTCCGTACGATGTTCAAAGCTTCATATGGAATAGTTTCATACATTTGTCGTCGAAATTTTCATTCTTGTGAACATACGATAGATGACGGACTCCTGTGGAGGGATTGCGAAGCAGGACACATCACGAGTCACGAGTCGTGATTCACGACATATTTGTGTTTGAAGAAAATAATAGATACGTGCTCTCATTCACACATTTCACCCACCACTACCATATGCCTGCATGCTGCACGTTGTTGCCCGCTAGTGAGTTTGGCGGGCGCTGAGTTGCCCATCACTGCCCTAGTGAGGCGGAACACGACACAAACCGGACGCCAGCAACCGGAAACGTTCACAGAATGATGTCCAAATGCTCTCTATAATTTCATTACCAGTCCCTAGCGATGCAACCACAGTGGGGGGACGCACAGTATTTCTGAGCTGTGATAATTTCACGTTCAAAAACGTGTGCTCCGGGAGTTTGCAAAATTTCACCCTTCGTAATCAGTCGTTCCAACATCCCAGATCCTCCCATAATTACATATTCATCCGTTGCGAATGTAGCAATGGTTCATTCCGCTTTTTGGCGATCCGCTTTTCCGGGTTTTTGTCCGGTTGGATGAGTTCCGTTCCGTTCCGCGGCCGTCTTTCCGTCTCGTGAGAGTGATGAGGCGAATCGCAACACGGAATAAGGCAGATTACAAGTTGCATGGCCGCCCTCCTAACATCTGCAACCCCCTCCCACAAATTCACCGGCATATTACTTCTGTTTTCTTGAAAACGCCGCTGAATGTACGGCTGCTGGACTTTGTGGGTGGGGGGAGGGGCGTCGCGCTCGGAACGATTTTCATGAATATTCTTTGGGGTTACATTAATGCGGCTTTATAAATATGTATTAAACCCCATGGATTTTACTATCTCCGACAAATTAAGCTTTCCAGCTGCCTTAACCCTCTTTGCTGTTCCGGCCAGCCGGGGCGTTGCCGGTGGAAAGATGCAATTGGAATAGTAATTTCGTACCGCGATCTGCATCACGCTGCTCCTTCAACCCACCGGGGACATTTAATATTCTACACAATGAATTTATATTTTCTATTACTAAGGGTGAGGCGGGATAAGGGATTATGGTACCGAGGTGCTTTTTGACAGAATGAAAGTACTTCCCTCTTCGAGTGAAGATTTGTTAAGTTTAAATGGTTTGGAATTAACGTGTAACGTACGTAGCGATGCTGTACCATAGTACTGTAATATTCAGGACGATAATTTTGATTTCTGAAGACCTACTTTTATGGGCGTAGCCAGGTTATCAATTGAGCTATAAGGGTGGGGGGTGCTGAGGGGGGCTAAATTTTTCTTAAGGTAATTTTCACAATATTATTTGTTCCTCCATACGTCAAACTCCAATTTTTTTCTCCTCTAAGGTAGGGAAAAGGTCATTTTTATCCTCTGACGGGGGGGGGGGCAAGTGCCCTCCTGCCCCCTTGGCTAGGCTTATGCTTACTTCCTTTCGCGGCCCAGCTTCACCGATACTACACATTTGTTGGTAGCAAGTGATAGAAATGTTGATACCATGGGGTGACGTAAGAAAATAAAGTCGGAGCGAAAAATTTACGAGGTTCAAGTGTAATTTATTTTCTTATCTGTGAGGCTACATAGTGGCAATTGTTATAGTTATAAGGGGTCGCATATTTGTATATCGTGATAATATGTACCATCAACCTCTGCTAGCTATGAATTGCGGACCAGTGTTCCTGCGGGATCGAGCCTAACAATTAAAAAATGTATTTGAAACAAGATATAAATAGTGGTTGCAGTAACATTTTGCAATACAATTAATTGTGAATAACGTTAATTAACGTTTATGGTTATGTTTTGCTTTGTCATTTTTACCACACTTTGTAAATTAAATTACGGTTAATGTTAATTAATATTTCAGACACTCGAATAATATCAAACGTATTACATACCGCTTCAGAGGGCGCAATATAAAACGCCACTATGGCGAGAGCAGAAAGAGCGAGAATAGCAAATTTCATTTTTTGGAACATGTTTCTTCTTGCAGTTGTTGACTCCCACAATATGATTGTAAACATTGTTTTATGTATATATATAGAATATTTTAATAATAAATAAGTTCTTCGTGACTGAGCTATCAGTTTCATAGCTAGTAAACTTCACTTATGGCAGCAGGCGTACTTATCATTATTTCTTAACCCTGAGTTGAACGAATTCGGTTTCTGGTTTAGTCTAATTCTAATTCCTTTGCCCTTGATTGGTTCAGTTTGGTTCGCTTGGTCTTTATATAACTCAAGTGACACTTCTTTGAATTTTAGAAAAATGAAGTAACAACTTATAAGATTGCAATAACAATCGATAAACTTCCCAAAAGATCCAATTAATCTCCATCTGAATATTTTAATATATCGTAACACCTGTTCCTTTGACATATTCCGCGAATGTTCATTCGAGAATGTTATAAATATTGTAACACAAATTTTCAAACATTCCATGCTACAATGTTTTGCGAAGTCATTCGAAAAAATTGTCAATTTATTCGAGCAAACTGTCGTAATTTGTGCCACCGAATGTAGAACGCGTATTTTTGCAACATACGGGCTTCCATCAAAAGTGTCAGAAAAGAACGACAGCAATAATGTATTCCATGCAAATTCGTGTTGTCACGTATTTCAGTCATAAAACGTTATAAACTTCCACTGGTAATCTTTATTGCTCACAATGGCTTATTGTTGATGGAACACTGGGTACAATGGAGATAACGGTATGACGCTGTCAATTGCAAATTCTTGCAATCTTTAACACGATCAAGTAGAAAGGTATGTAAGGGTTATGATATATGTAATTCATGATATTTTGCACCAAATGATGGATATCTCCTCAATCTAATCTCCTCTTTTTAATTTATGTGATGAGTTTTTCCATTACTTATAAACTCTGAATTCTATGCATTTATTTATAATTATTAATCATGTATTTAAAAAATTTACTAAAAATGATTGATTCTACGAAATGTTTTCTTAGTTTAAATGTGTTAAGACATATAGAAAATCTATTTTTATTTTAGTTATGTAAAATATGCTACTGGAGATACATTGCTTCGTAAATTGATAACGATGTCGCGAAATTTCTATCAAACTGATACAATGTTCTCGTTCCAGCCTCTTATATAAAGAAGAAAAGTATTGCTTCGCATCAACACGTCAAAAAATTCTAACAAAGGCAACATGAAGAAACAGCTAAAGTTATTTTTCTTTCTTATAACCGTGTTTATCTTATCGACACATTACATTACGTCCGCTGTAGCAGCGAAAAGGCCTAGGAGCTAAATAGATAACTTGTGTCTATACATAGAAATGGTCCGTATAATGACCAATATAAAATTATGAACTTTATCAAATTCTGGTATCATAATATTCATTCCTTGTGTAATTTTCTACTATTTAGGCATGAAACCGGGAGGTTGTATCACCGGCATTCACAACAAATAGAAGTTGACGACATGGGCACGCAAACACAAATTTAATTTTTTAATATGCTTCTAATTCTTTATATTATGTACCTTTATTGGAAATGAAATAAACTGTACGTCAACCCCAATATGTAATGCTTACTTCCCTCTCTGTGATTCCTCTGTATTTCTTTATAATTATTATATGTGCATATAATTATTATACAATAATTAATGTATATGCCTTATAAAAATGTGACAAAAGTGATTGACTTTTCCACATTCTCTGCGTAGTTAGAACTTCTTAAGTCTTAGAGAAAATATCTTTTCCATTATACCTAAATTCTGAACTCTATGGACTCATTATTATTTATTAGTTATGTACTACAAACATATGATACAAATAGTTTAAACTTCTTAAGTTATATAGAAAATCTCTTTTTACTTTGGTTATGTAAAATGTGCTACTAGAAATATATTGCCTCGTAAATTGATAACGAAGTCACGAAAAATTTATCAAATTTAGGCAGTGTTCATGCTTGAGCGTCCTATATAAGGTAGACAAATATTGGTATGTGTTAACAAAGGAAAGAATTCCAAGGAAGACAACATGAAGAAGGAACTGAGCTTAGCGTTCCTCGTTCTGTCCATGATTTTCTTGTCGACATTTTACATTACGCCTTCTGAAGCTGAAGCGATCCCCCCTAGAAGACGTAGGAAAGGATAATTAACTTCTACGCATAACAATGGTCAGTATGGTTATCAATTTAAAATTATGAACTTTTTTATACGCTCCTGCCATAATATTTATTCACCTGTTATTGTTTACTATGATGTTTAGGCTTGAAGCCGGGAGGTCATATCACCGGCGTTTATTGCACGCAGATGTTGATGTCATTGGCACCCAATACAAACTTAGTTTCTGATTGAGTGTAACAATTTACATTATGTATTTTCATTGGATATAAAATTAGGTGTACATCGGCCATAATATTGCTTTCTTCATTCTCTTCGTGCGCTTAGAGTAACAGTAAGCAATGAACGGACGTAGTGATCTAATTATAAGACAGTACTTCGAGAATAATAGGTGTATATCTCGATATATGATCGAGATCACAATCACACGTGTCAAAAAACGTCTATGTATGTAATATTCAGTTTCAGGTGTCATTTTTTTTCTTTGCTAAATTGAGATTTGTGATATTTGCAAACTTGTAATTCTAAACTCGAATTCATTGCTAATTCTTTGCAAGGAAATAGATTTACTCGTGAACACAATTATACGCGAAGAAAATTTGAAAAATGTAACAAAAAGTGGATACATAGTTATGACATTAAATTCCGTTTACCATTCTCACAGGGCACGAGGGAAACAGATCGTTTCCACGTGTTTAACATTTCATAAATTGGCGTGCACGCGATCCAGATAAATAAATTCCTTCTTGCTGTTTTACACGCAACGCGAAGTATGTCGTTCGGGTCTATTGCCCGTGGATCGACGAATGATAAAAACCATCGATAAATAAAATTCCCCTCGTAAAAAAGTCGGATATTAATTTTCGTTCTCGAATAGAAACTGAATTCGAACCGGAGGTTGTGTAATTTAAAGTCCAATAAATTCACTGTCGTCATTTTTATGCTTTTATTCGTTATCCACATGTGAATAAATTTAATGAAACACGTTCTGCGTATTACTTTGATAACGTAAAGTGCATAAAACTAGAAGATTTTACTACACGCTCCATATAAGGTATAAATTTTGAGGAAAACATGTTCTGCTTGTTATTACAAACATGCGCGTTGAATTGGATTGAATAAATCAACGATGCAACGTTAACTCTACTATTCATTAAAATATAATTGAAATAATCACATTGGTTTACCTTCTCTTCTGGATATATTTAAATCCAAAATACATACTTGAATTTAATTTAATATTTAAAATTATTCTTTTATGCACATTAGATAACGGAATATCGATGTCACTCTATTAAAAAAAGTATTTCTCAGTAAATGAAATAGATTTGCGCAGATAATGTATCTAAAGTTTTGTCAAAAGTTATGCACTAGACAATCATGTTCGACTATATCTAGGAATACACCTGCCAGGGTGTTTAACATCTACCGTAAATAGGACAAGTTCAAAGCATTAATGGAATATTGGATTCCATGGAGTGTATATGTCGACATATTAGTATGCCGGTGACATTCATTGATCCTAAAAGGCGGTTCGATTACTGTACCTAAATACAGCACTTGTAGGTACATTTTGTACATAGTATCATTACAGTGCGTACACATATAATCTCCGGTGAATATGACTATGATAATACATAATACTATTTGATTAATTCACCGATATAATATTAATTAAATTTAATTAATTTGACATGGTACCATATTAATTAAGTTCTTCCCAATTTACTATAAGATATTCAATGACAAGATTAAACATCATCTTTTCCTATTCAATATTTAGTTTTACAGAAACCGAAACTCTGTGCTCAGTAATTACGATAATGTGCTGTTACAACACAATTAGTCCTCGTTCTCTAACAACCTCCGTCGTTATTAAAAAAGGAAAGGGCGTGAATATGTTCTGAATTTAAATTATGTTGTTGGACTACTAAAATCTATGAAGAATTACTTTCTGGTAGATTTAACATACCGATTACAGAGCAAATTGTACAGAATGTGGCGGTCAAATATAGTCGACGTCTTTTTACACGAATATTTTTCGCACGTTTCCTCGGTACAAATGGTCAGCGTAAACATGCATATGTAATGGAAGTCTCGTAAGAAAATGTGCGAGCAAAGTTTCGCCTTTAAAACCAATTAAGCCAATGTAAAGTTCAGCGCAATGTGCCGTCGTTGGTTCGACGTCGATGTCACGGTTCGAAGTTCGAAGTAACCGGTAAGTAAAATGGTGTGGGGCTCGATGCTGCAGGGACAGCTTCGACGAAGCTCGATCGGCATAATCGAGTGAAATAACAGGTGCTCACAGCAAATTAACAAGTTTTTATGCGTTTAGTTTTCCTGTTATACCAGCGCGTTGGGTCCGAAGCTGTTAACTGTTCCGAATTTAATCGTGTCTCATTATACATATTGCCATTACAATGACGCTTACGATGTCCACAATTGTCACGTGGCAGCCAATATCGATTCAAAGCCGACAACTGTTTAACGTCTCTTAGTTACGACATAAAAGTTATCAATAAATTCGATTAATAATTAATTGCCTCAGCGATAGTCAATTAGACGACACTCGAAATTGTATTTAATCTCGAGATTATTGTAAAGTAATTATTGTATCCGCCGGATTTTTATGAAGATTAAGCACGGAGAACGGGGATACGCGTAACAGGCGGACCCCTAAATTGCGATAAATCTTCGTTATAAACTTTTACTTGACTTCAGTTCGCTAATGAAGGGTCATTATCCGGTGGATTCATCCGGTGAAATTAAATTTTCATAATTAAAGGTACATTAAGGGACCGGCAAAACGGACGAAAGTGGGATCTGAAAAATTCAGTCACGGTAAACAAATAAAATAATTGAAATGGAAGAGGAAGGCGGAGCGAGAGGAGCAGAACTAAAAAGTACGACGGGTACCGTTGCTTGCGCTTGCGTAAACCGTGCCGGACGGCTTGATGGGACGAGGATATCGCTTGAAAAATATTTCACGTAATCTTTTTAATAAGTCGGTTGACCTACCGAACTCTATCGCACCACGGAGAATAGTTTCGTTCATTTTAATCCGTGATAACTCTGATTGAATCGAAATTCTCTCGATTTTTCAATACAGCAAAACATTAATAAATGCATCCACCAGATTAAATAATCACACTTTTCCTCATTCGAAAAATGGCATTCTATTTACCCAGAATTCCAAAGTTTTAGATTTACTCCGGAAATTTTTTATCGGCAGGATGATCTTTCTGCAAACCCCATGGGGAATTTTCGTTCATTGTTAATGACGTCGATCCACCATCTTGCTGTTCCTACGCTCATTAATATTCCGAGTAGACAAGTCGAAGATTATGTCTACGTGCCGATCAAGCCCTCGTGGATGGTTCCATTTATCGTTCCCGGTACGCCGGCATCGATCGTTAATTTCATTAACCGGGAAGTAATGGAAAAGGAAAATATGATAATGAAAAACGCCGTAGCAGAATCGTTAAATTACCTGTAATGCTATTATCTCGGGACTGAAATGAATTTTTCTGCCGCGGGTGTACACGCGGCGCGATTTTAAACGCGTTAACGGTTTTTGGTTCGATTGAAATATCCATTACCGAAAAACATGCGTGAAACGGGCCCAATAAACAATGCAGCTCGTTAAACGACGCAATAAACGTCGGTGAAGATATTTAAATAATAAACCCTTAAATACATTAATATTTATAAGCATCAAGACATCTGGTCTGTATCAAGAGAATGTCCCGTTTTGTACTAATTACACATATTAAACAACTCTTGGTACTTCATAGTAGCATAAACGTTATCCACCGATCTTTAGGATCCACTAAACAATATTCATTGCAAATTTTCAACAATTAATCAGTTATTCACCATGCATACCATCCGAGATCTGGATATTTTCTTAGCTCCGATTTATCTTTCGACTATCATACTAGGATCATAGTATCTATAGTATATAAGAAACTCGGATTCATCCTACGTTATGCAAAGTATTTTAATTGACTATTGTATTGTACGCTAGTTAGATAATTAGAATTTACCACTACAATCTGGAAGAAATTAAAGTATAATTGAACGTGTTCAATATAGATTTCTCAGAAGAATCAGCTGTTTTATAGATGACCCTATGCAAAATCACTAGAGATTCTGTTCTTGTTTAAGATCGTAAATAATCGCATGGCTTGCCCAGAAATACTGGAGAACATTAAATTTTAATTACCCACGCGTAATCTCCAACTCATCCTTTGTTTGACGTTCAATATCACAAAATCAGCCACGGTAAGTTTAAACCATTAAACCGCTTATGTATAATGGCCAGATACTCTTGATGAATCTTTCGATTTGTTTTACCTCTGACTAACAATAAGCGCATTTCGACATAAATTATTAACTAGTTTCAAATAATTATTTTATATTTTTGCCATTGTTATTGTATTACTTTGATTTGTTTCATCTTTTATTCGCGTGTTCTTTTTCTTATTCACGCTATATATATTTTAAAATAAATATTATTATTAATTTTGTAAAAATATTCTATAAGTGTCCTATTGAGCGGGAGTGCATGTCCATATTAGAGCAAAGATTATCTAACAATTCAGTGACAACGTTTTCGGTCTAATTATATTTTCGAAATATCTTGTTTGTCTGGGGCAAGCTACATTGGGAATACTGTTAAATATGAATAGGTCCCTTGGTGTTGAAATATGACCGTAACGCGAGCGAAGCTTGCCGTCACTTTGGACGCCTCTTGGAAATTGCAAGAGGTATCGATTCTCAGAGTGGTCCACCGCGTACAAAATGAAATTATTTCGTTAGCGGGAAAAATTGCTCCTTAAAAACCGACTTCTTCCACGTCCGGTAGCTTAATAATCGAGACAAATTTAATATCGCGTTCCCTGCTCCCTATATGATAAAGATCAAAAGCATGACAAGTGCCATCCCAGCCTGGGATTTTCATTACACTAAAGCGCTGCCCTTTGTTATTAACACATTATCGCTCGAGCACCTGCCAACGAGCGAGGATTATCTTGATAATGCATTTTCTCTATAGCTCCCACCTGAATAACGTAACACCTTCTCCCATGAACTCGAACATTCTCGCTCAGACGCGTCATCGTTCATTATATTAGTAGTTGGCAATAATACTCTCTCAGATTTTACATTTTCTGGCCAGCTTGATTTGAAAAACAAAAGTGGATTTTATCGAGCGATATGCTAGATATATCATACATATTTTCGACTGAAACTCTTTAATAGTACTTTTGAAGATCTTTGAATATGTACTTAGAA